TATTAGTACTAAGGTCTAAGGATTTTTTTTAATTTCAAGGCCAAAGTTTTAAATAGCACAATATATTGTAGATTAGACATTTAAAAAAGGAATTCGCATAATTCAGTTTAATTTATCACTAAAGTGTTTCATGCTTCTAGTGTTACTCTAGTACTCAAGACTGTATTGCAACAGACAGTGTTGAATGCATATGGTTGTTTTCAATCTTTGGTACATCATCCAACCATCATAAACTAAAATATATCCTAAAACAGAAGGTTCGGTTTTGTCAATGACATCGTTAGCTTAATKACCTACATTCTTGTATCGATAGCAATACTAACTTTGCTGTGGATACTCTACAGGAAAAAGCTTCATCTCTTTAATGTATTCTACGACCCAACTAAAGCCGAACAAGCTCAAATGAGGTAATAATATATAAACAAACATACCTTACAACCACTAGGGAGTAGGGGCCGGCTAAAAAGCCGATCCACTTTGAGGATGGGTCACTTCGAAGAATGAACGGATCCTTGTGAACACTTTTTCAATCCGTACCAAATTGTGGACGGTTCCGTGTAAACAGTGGGAACTGTCCTAAAACCGAGGTGTCCTCAAACGTGAACGTAGTCTCAGTCTCGTATAATGGAACAACTAACCCTAACCCCAAGGGCCATTGCAATGTCATGCTATGAAATGACTGCACTGTCATTATTCGTTCACCAAACCACTAGCATTGTTTCCATTCTTTTAACAATTTCATTCATATGCATCTTGATTCAAATTCACACATTACTTGTCCACCTATTTATTTATTCATGATATCATAATTCACAGAGGATCAAAAGGCCCTGGCGTATCTGAAGGAGTCGGGAACCCTGTGTATGACACATTCAATGAAGGGCAACCGCTTGAAGAAGTAAGAATCTGCAATAAAGACGATTATTTTTTGAGATATTAAGATAATTCCATGTTTTTCTTTAGTTCCAAATGAGCGACGTTGATACCAACATGTTTGTCTCAGATGACGCATTTGGAATGCCGGTAAGTGTTCGAGAACTCATGACCCAGTTCACTTCGGCAAAATGTACAGCTTGAAAGAGTAATAGTTGATAGTATGGATAATTACATTTTTGTGTCTATCACCATTCTTATGCAATCTCAATACTCTAATTGTCATGACCATTTTTTACACAGACTGAAAAAGGAGGAGCAACATCAATGGCCAACCCTCTCTATCAAGACCCTTACCTCGAGGAAGACCTCAGCAAATATTAACAATAACAACAAAAACCCATAGAAACCGATATGATTTCTTAAAACCTCAATTATCAACAACACAAAATGAAAAACAATTCCAGTATTTAACTCCAATTCTTTTGTTACCATAGCAACATTAGTGTATAGATAACTTGTGATTGAACAACGTGGGACTGAACCATGGCAAAGTGCTAACCCCGAAAAAACAGCATAGTTAGAGAAGCATTTTTGAATTGTTTTGTTATCGATAGCATAATCTCTGCATTAATTTCAGCTTGTGAGTTAGATATATTRTTCATCATGACGTCATTTGCGATATATTTTCGAGTTGTGCTGCACTCCACTGTTAACTTTCATATATTTCTGTATTATCTTTGGATTTTAAAATAAAATTGATTAATCTCTTGTAAATAGTGTTGGTGTTCATGGATTTCCCCCTATCGACGAATCTAGGGAAGATCTTCTCGCAAGGTATAGGCTGGTACCGAATGGAAATATTACATTGCAATCCAATATGGCGGCATTCTCAAATGGCTTCATTGCTATCATGATATATGTTTTTCAAGATCTTAATCAGCCGAGGAATTATTGTTATGTCAAACCATTTACTTTGTAATCGGCTGGTCGGTTAGTGTTCAATCTACCCTTCCTACTTCAGACTACCTGCCTCCTATCAAACAAAATACTCTTTATGTAGGACAGGAAGCCCGGCAAAACGGTAAATGAAAAAATCCGTGAAAAGTAAAATGCAATGATATCTATAACTTGWCCATTTAGCAAAGCCTTGCAAAACTGATGAGGTRGATTACTAAATATACTGCCGTGATTCTGACTGTGATTGCACAGGAATCTAAGTACCATGTAGTGTTCAAAARCGCAACTTGATTTATATTTTCTCTCGTGATCATAACTAGACGCTCTTGGAGCGCGAAGTCGGACTAGCTATTTTTGAAAGTATATCATGGCGTAGAATATTATATTTTTAACTTCTAATACATAGTGAAAGCAAGAATGCGTGACCGTTTATTCACACGRTACGATATTCTTTTTGACTGCTCACTCTCACGTGCGAGGTAACTAACAAACTTAGTTTTCAATTCACGTGGTTTTCGCAAAAACTGAAAAATGTTTTCTTAGTTGGGTTTCGAACAGAATAGAATCCTCTTCTCTTGAGACTTTTCATGGACTGTTGAAATTATATTAGTTTCCTTTAAGAAAACCTGTTCATGCGCAATCGAGCAATCGAAATTTGAATATTGTTATTAAATATTCTTAGCAGTCATTCTAGAAACGATGTCGAACAGTGACGATTTGTTTATAGCTCAAAATACGTTTGACATCATTCCTTTGACGAACTTTGATATTGACGATTTGCTATCGGATTTGGAACTCCGCATGCCTCTGCCCGCAAATAACGATGATAAAGTCTGCAGATGGGAAAAAATGAGAAAAATTACAATAGTTTTTGATGTTGAACTCGCTCGAAAAAATACGAGGGCAGGATTCAAGAAGGAACAAACTATAGAACCCGAATGGCCGTATGTACGTGCTTGGATAGAATGAGGAGCGGAGAAATACGAGTCACACCGATTACTTCTGATTCATACACGTTGGTTAATTCCGAAGAATAGTGTTAGACTACGCCTCCCTGACATTTAGTCAATACAATGTTGATAAGTTAATAGTAGAATTCAGTTTGAAGTGATTCCTCAGCAGTTTTATAGTTTGGTCTAGAAATTGAAATTGTCAAGTTATGTACCTGTAGCTAAATTATCCGTGAAATTGCATATTGTCAATAACCGGCTTTCCTATGTTTTATGAGATCATCGTATCTATAGTATATGTCAATCACGAAAGACGAGCTATAATTCAAACACAACGTCCCGCCCGGGCACAACGTAAACTGTCGTATTATTAACCAATATCATTGACATTCTATTTTTATCTTTTTCTTCATCCTTTCCTTGCGATTAATTAAAAAAGCAAGTGCATTATTCTACCAGCTGCGTAGCGCCGATGCTTTGATGAAACTGGGTCAACTACCCATTGGACATTGAAGCAGGTGGTCGAGGGAACTTACGACAAGTGAAAAATAATATTAAAACATTATAAGATTCTCAATAATGTTCAATTCTGCACCTTTTTATATCCAGTTTTGTCGAATTTTGGGCGCCAAAAAATAATTGTTGGGATTATTCAGTCCTGAAGAAAAGCTTTTGTATAATTATATATCTCTGTTTTTTATCGTGCTTCGTTTTTAGTCGGCGAGCTTTAAACAAAAATGTCTTGCTGGTATAGTGACAGTATTTGTTGAGAATCTTGAATGAGACGTGTCCAAATGTCAAATTTTCAATTTCGTTGGAACTGACAATTCTGTTTTTCTCATTCGGAAATAATCCATTGTCACAGGTCTTAGGATTTAGCCTGTTTTAATATAATCCAGTTTATTGAATTTCCAAGAGTCGATGCAATCTGTTTTTTCGATGATGTAAGAAGTGCAAATTTACCGGCTTTTCAGGGAGTCTTAATTTATTTGAAACCCCGTTTGGAATTGTTCCCCCTTTTCATCGAGATATCCAAGAAACAAAACCCAGGAAGTGTTAATTTATAATTGCGACTTGATTGGGGCATGTTAATGGAAGCTTTATCTAGCTATATAATCACATAGCCTTGAAGTGAAAAAGTTAAAGTTGAAGACTTTGAACTTCGTACAGCTGGCTAGGTCTAAATCTCTCGAAGAAAGAGAAATTACTGGTGTTAATTTTTACGCCTGGATTTTCAAGTGAGGCCAAGAATCAGGTTTACCCATTTGGAAAAGAGTTCTGTTGTAACTGCCAGCCATGTAAAGATTTCAACGATTGTGTTTTTGAGTGTTCGTCTCATGAAGAGCCTCTCGTGTATTCATAAGATTTTGTCAATTCCTACATCTTCAAGTGTCTTTAAGGGGGACATCCCCAGTTGTTTTCCAAGCTTTTTAAGCGGTCTAACATGCAGGTATTAATGCGGCAATTCTGACGACCTGTAGACGCCTCGTTTGCTGTAATAATGGTCAAATAGTTCTTCACGACTATGGCTACCAATTTAACAAGAACTTGGACGACTCAAAGTAGCAAAATAGACTGTATATTTTTATCTCCAGAATTTGATGCAAATAATTTGACTTCTCTTCCATATTCAGTTGTGCCGACATGGATCTTTCTTAGCGTTTTCAACAGCCTCGCCGCGCTCTGCCAACAGCCCTCATAAACTTTCTAATTATTTGGACAATTATCGAGAAGAGACGTCTGCGCAACGCCAACTACAATCTTCTTCTGACTTTTTTAGCCATGTCGGACCTTTTTGTCGGCGCCGTTGTACAGCCTCTGACAGTTTCGTACTTGGTATGTTTGGTTTTAAGGTGTTCTTCGCCTTGTAAAACGTTTTCTGGCGTAGCTATAGCTGCTATGGTTGGCTCCTTCTTTGCTCTTAGTACTTTGACAGTTTTGAGTGTAGAGAGGTACTTTGCTGTGGAGTTTCCTTTCTTTTATCAACGGAAAATTACAAATGGAAGAGTAATGCTTGTTGTCTTGTTAATGTGGGTTGCATTTCCAACGTTTTCTATCCTGAGCAGAATTCACATCGATAGCAGTTCGCAACACATTCGAAAGCTACCGACGATAGTTTTTCTGTGCTCCAATGCAATTGTTATTTTATTTTGCACAATTAAAGTGCACATAACAGCTCATAAGAAACGAAAATCTATTGCTATTGGTAATTCAACGTCACAACGTCATCTAGCAGAGCAACACAACGAGTACAAAARGTCCTTAACTATTGGAATAACAGTCATCGCAACAGTTATTCTCTATTCTCCCTTAATAACAGTCGGTGCTATTGAAATTGCTTTTGGTCCTGATATAACTCAAGATTTCAAGTTTATTTCTCAGGCTATAGCAAGCTCTTTTATTTTCTTGCAGTCTCTAGTGAATCCTCTAATTTTCGCTCTTCGCATGTCGTACATACAACAAGGTGTCAAGAATAAATTATGCTGTATTTCTTCAAAAGATGTAACGCTTGCTGTAGCAGCTTTCACCTCAAGATGAAAATATCGGTTTAAAGACATGTTTTTAAGACTTTTTATCGAGTTTTAATCGAAAAGTCATATTTGTTTGCTTTGACACAAACTTGTGAAGACCTCATTAAATATTAAAAGCAAATAAAGTAGAATAAATAATGTAGATTGTTTTATTTCATTTTTAATCCTTTGGTTCTATTTCGGTGATTTTTATTTAGTTTGTGTGTGGTTTGGTTTGTTTGTTTGTGTTTGTTTTGTCTTTGTTTGTTTGTTTGTTTTTTTCCACGTCGCAGTTTAGCAATCCCAAGGGACCCATAATCCAAGGTTCAATCCTCGACTGGAGCAAAAATTCTTTTTTTTTGCTTTCTTTCTTTCTTTCTTTCTTTCTTTTTTTAACTGAAATATAATCAAGTCAATTAAGTGTTCTAGTCATGCTAGATTTTTATCGTAGCAATTTGTTTCATCAATATTTACGAGCCGCGTTTGTTAAATTTCAGAAACAAGATGATACTGGAGATACTACAAGATGGTTCGAATCTCGTCTCGAGCACTTTTTTTTCTTCTTTCTTTTTAAATATAATATATTTGTGTTATAGTCATCTTGATTTTCTGTAGATTTTGTTTGATAATTATTTTCGAGCCATTATTTTGATTGCGTCGAGCTTAGAATCGCGGACTTGATTCTCGACTAATTTTTTTCTTTCTGTTTAACTTAAATGAAGTTTGTTATAGTCATGTTAATTTTTTTTTTTTAGATATTCCTTTAACAATTATTTTTGAGCCGTTATTTTGATTTTCACACAGACTATYGTACTCGGCGAATAGCGTCGAACTTAGGATCGCGGGTTAGATTCTCGACTCGATCACTTCTATATTCTTTTTTCTTTCCTTCTTTTTTTTACTGAAATATACTTATTCTTCTTTTTCCTGTAGATATTTGTGTTACATATTTTACACGCAAGATCCCCTACTGAATAGCGGCGTTGAACTGACGGTCTCGGGTTCAATTCTCGACTCGATCAGCTTCTAAACATTTTTTTCTTTCTTTCTTTAACTTTAAAATATATACTCGTTCTTTTTCATAAAATAATTTTATGCAAAGCAATCTTTCATCTTATAAATTGTCTGAGGATAATACAAATGCAATCTGAATGCTAAATTATCGCTGCAATGATAAAAATACTTTCAAAAAAACTATGATGTGAAAAGATCATACGCAAAATCTATCAAATCGATCGTGGCGCTGGTAAAAGTATATATTAGCGTAACCTGGACACGGTATGTTCCACGAAGTGGTTCTTGTTATACAACAAATGACAGTCTCTTCAAAATGTACTTTTATAAGGTGATATATTTGCACTCTGTATACAGCTATTCCAAAAWATGTTGGCGGGAGAACGGCGATTGTCGGGAGATTGCACGACCAAAGGGGACTATGGTTACACTTTTTTGATAAAAAAATTTCAAGTATTGGATTCACCTTAGACTATATAAATCAGTTTTTATTTGCTTTCAACTTGTGGCTACTTTCGGTCGTGCAATGGACGTTCGACCATTGACATTCGCATTTTATCCGACAACCTTTTTTGACTATAGCTATATAATTATATGACGAATTTTGTAAGTTACATCCAATGACAGTGAGGAACGTTCAGTACTGTTTAATCACTATCAAACTTAATGGAGTTTACAGAAGTGTTGATGGCGCCTCCTCTATAACTTCCTCGTTTCTTCTTCGTCTTCTCGTGACGAAACGATTTTCCTGGAAAAACAAAACTCTCTTAACCACAAGAAACATAGCCTGCGTCACATTGTGGTTTGTCCGGATGTGACCCAGGCTACAAGAAACAAAACTACACGTGAGGTCCGCCCAGCAGCAGTCATCAATGCACAACAAGCTAATAAGGACTCGTCTGCACTCTAGGGACTCTACTCATTCTTACAATAGGTTTAACCCTTTCTTCATTATCCTTGAAACAATTGATTTCACAGGTATTTTATACAAGTAATCACTTGTAAATGTATTCCCATAACCGGGATTACTTTGAATGCTGTCAGAAAAGATTTGGATACCAAAATATATACTAAGTCAAAACACGAAAACATGCAGTCCATGTGGTCGTTTGTCACTCTACTTTATTACTCAAATTTGTTAGTTTGATGTCTCTACGTTTGGTATTACTTAGGGTCACCTGTAATTTCATAAACTATTAAGAAAATACACGGCAATGATTGAGGTACAAACCTTTAGTGAACTTCAGATCCTTGTTTGCTCTCTCACCCCAGTCACCAGTGGCTCCCAACTAAACATATACCAATGTATTAACGTAAGATGATGATTCAGACATGTACTATTTCGTGATGAAAGATTCAGACAAACTGCGAATCTCTGAAGCAGCGCCGGGAAGCACGACTGGTGAGATATCCATGCATATCAGAAACTGGCATTCAAAGTATTTGTGATTGTAACTTATCCAAGATAATGTCATATATAGTCCAATATAGTATGAACAATTTTGAAAATTACAGTAACCACCTCTTCACAACATACCTTTGCTTCAAAGCTATTGTCCTGCAGTCGTGGGTCAACTTCTACGTGTTCCTCTACAACACGACGAAATGGGGTCTTTTTGGAAGAACCATTCTGAATATCAAGTAAGGTACACATCGAGTTACACTATCAGCTGGTACAACAAATACCAACAATATTGGAGACAGACATTAAACAAATGCACCTTATAATGATTCATTAAACCCGTCAAACAAAAATTGACTACCAAAGACAATAACATTGTTAACCCATACAACACACGGTCACCACATGCATAACATACCATAGTGTTTTTCTTCGAATCAGATTCATTGACTGGAAAAGGTGTTGACGACACTTTGAAAAAAAAGACCATAATTATTCATTTGTTTCCAAGAAACGGCTAAATCTGTGAAACAGTACGAAATAATGTATTTCTGGTAATGACATGAAATTCGCTGAATTTGACATAGTGGTATTCAGAWATATAAGAACCCGTTTATATACTTCGCGTCTTAGACTCTTTTTTCTTCTTTTTCTTGGTTTTCTGCCGTTCCTCATCAGAGTCTGCTTCTTTGCTTGATTCTATGAAAAAATGTCTTTGTTATTAATATGACTTTTTAAAACACAACATAAAACAAGTAGACAACAATAATGCACTCTTAAGTTCTGAATAATCGTACATGTAACGCTTATTTATTCTGGCAAAATATTCCACTCTATACGGCCTTATTCGGGACTGTACGTTTATTAATTTTCAGGGTTTTTCTCTGTTCTTACCTTAATTAGCTATTAACAAAATCTGAAAAAAAGTTCTGAAAAAGTTGCCCAAAAGACGAACATTTTGTCTCCAAAATGAAAACAAAAACASGAGCRAACARTAAACTAAGACCACGAATCATCTGGTCAGCGGATTTGATTGCGACGGAGACTGGGGGCAAGTCGGCGATTTTGCAGAAATAGCTTGAAATTTTGTTTTTTCCACTCTATACGAGCCAGGTAGCACCGCTCGGAACGGGTCAGGGAAGGAGCAATCAAAAAGCAGGTTTCAATTGGTACTGCATTACTGGTCTATACTATTATTCCATCCTATGCTATTATTGGTTAATTTGGATTTCTCCACCCTATACCATTATTAATATGCTCTATATGATTATTCGGAACTCAAGAGTAAACAAGCTAAAAGGCATATAATATATATAATAATATAATAATAATATAATCCTATTTATATAGCGCTTATCCAATTCTGKTCTAAGCGCTTTAAAACTACATGACAACTACAAAACACATGAGAGTCTTGGTAGACTGTGAGCTTGAGTTGGCGCCTCTGGCTGCCGCTGCACAGTCCGTCCCAAGATCTCAAACTAAAAATTAAAGTACAACAATCAGATACATCACAATAAACAAGTGTTTTTGCATGATGCCCGGTGGCTTAACCAAGCTCATTCGCGCTTTGACAGGTTTTGTTTTTAGTCCTGCTGGGTGTCATGCCACCCTCCTCACCAGTGTAGACTGGTGGGGGTGCCGGTTTAGACGCCGACGACCCGTCCATGAGGCAGGTTGTACTGGGTTACAATGTTACCAGTAGCAGACTACATGCAAATGAATAAGTAAGMAAGCAAGCTTATTCCAACCCTGATTGAATCACACCTGAATCTAGGCGATTTGCACGATGGTGTTACACACTGGCAAGACAAGTTTCCAATTCWCTTTTGTMAGTAATTTAGTGTAGTGTTGCTAGGTGTAGTATTGTGTCATGCGTCGTGTTGTAAAAATCGTTTTACTAATCTCTCGAGGGATTTAAAATCTAGATAAGAAGGAAGAAGTACTGTAGTCTTCGTGGTAAAATAAAACAATCGTGTAAATGACTAGTATTCTTTTCTTTTTGCTGCTCAACGTGYAAGATTCATTATAAAATGATGTCTTTAAGAGTGGATGGGTATTCTATCATCTAGCTGCTACGTATTCATGATAAAAATAAAGAGCACATATTAAATGAATTCTAACAACTACAATTAAGTTACCAATTATAGAGTAAGTTGTTTGTAAATACCTGATTGTGAGTCTGATTGGTTAGAATGTCCATTAGTAAGTTTCTTAATAGCTTTTTGAATCGATGAATTCTGACCCTCTTCACTTGATGATTCTTCTGAAGTACCATCTTCAAAAAACACAAGCAAACCATCAGAAAACCATAAATGCCGTAACTTAGAGAGGAGTAAAGTTAGGGAAGCAAACAATAAATACCTTGTGGTTTTTTCTTTTGTTTTTTATCTTTAGGTTTCTTTTCTTCTTCAGAGCTATCGTCACTCGAAGAGGATGTCTCCTTTTTCTTCTTACTTTTTTTCTTCAATGGCGCTGCATCTTCACTCTCAGATTCACTGCTATCTGATGTTTGCTCTTCATAACTTTCTACCTTTTTGTTAACTTGTTTGGGTGTTTCATCCTCTGAGCTATCAGATTCTGAGCTTGAGGTCTCCTTTTTCTTCTTCGTTGCTGTGGACGTTTTGCTCTTTTTTGCTGGTTTGTCAGATTGATTTTCTGAGCTATCATCACTTTCTGACTCAGAACTTGACTCTTCGTTATTCTTTGCTTGAGATTTATGTTTTAAATCTTTCTTCATTTTACTAACTTTTTCCCTTTGTTTATTTGAAGAGACTTCGGAATTGTCCTCACTAGTTGAAGACTCCTTTGATTTCACGCCTTTTTTAGTTTTTGTTGGCTCTTCATCTGTACTTTTATCACTTTCTGAGCTACTTGAATCTTTCTTCTTTGCTTTCCCTTTGTTGCGCTTAGCTTTCTTTTCTTTCTTTGCGCTTTCATCGCCTTCTGGATCTGACWTCTCTTCTAACACATGTTTCTTTTTAGTTTTAGTTTCTTTAGCAATGTTTGCTTTTTCATCTTCCGAGCTTTCTTCACTTTCTRAACTTGAATSGTCCTCTTTACCTTTACTTTTCTTGGTTATTTTTGATTTACTTAGGGATTCTTCTTCACTGCTCTCGCTCTCAGAACTAGTATCTTTCATTTTGGAAACAACTTTCTTCACAACTTTTGCTTTCGTTATCTTTTCTCCATCTTCGTCTGAGCTACTGTCACTACTTGAGCTACTCGATGTCTTTGATTTCTTCACATCTTTTTTAGATTTCTTGGTTGAATTATTGTCAGATACATCCATACTCTCTGCACTTGACGAAGACTGATTCTTATTTGCTTTTTTAGCATTTCGTTTTGTTGGTTTCTTTGTTTCTTCAACTTCATCAGAAGACTCCTCACTTTCTCCTTCGCTATCTTCTATGAACAAACAGTATTAGCATGGATGACTTCAAAATTCTTAACATTCTTGATTAGCATCATTAATAATACCTGATGTAGTCTCCTCTCGCAGCCGTTAGGACGTTCGTTCCCAGGTCACTCCCCCCTAACGGCTGCTAGGGGGGAGTGACCTGGGAACGAACGTCCTAACGGCTGCGAGAGGAGACTATACCTGATGATGTTACAGTTTTCCTTTGTTTCTTTAAAGGTGGTTCTTCTTTTTTACTTTCCTTTCTTTTCCTTTTCACTTGCTGAGAGCTGGATGAAAAACAAAAATCATCACCAAGAAATTATTGTTTGAATTTCTTGG